TTCAAAATCTGGGAGGTGCAGGTCATTCTTCTTGTGCTGGTTCAGAATCTGGGAGGTGCAGGTCATTCTCCTTTTCCCCAGCTCAGAATCTGGGAGGTGCAGGTCATTCTCCTTTTCCCCAGCTCAGAATCTGGGAGGTGCAGGTCATACGTCTAGTCCTGGTTCAGAATCTGGGAGGTGCAGTCGTAGCTGGATAGGTCCGGTGGTCACATTTGGGTGTTGCTGGTGACCTTCTTCTCCCGTCAGGCTCATTGCTGGCTCTCGCCTCACCATAAAGCTTTGTTGTGGTCAGTTTCCCGCACTGTACAGCAGAAGGACGTCGCTTGGCACGGCGCTGCGTTCTGGATTTCCTGCAGATTTGTGTCGGACACACCCGGATTTTCTCTGTCGCCTCACAGAGTGGATATGTCGCCCATCTGGTGTCCTGTTGGACAGAGGGGTAGCAGTGGAGACATACAGGGTCTATAGGTTGTGGAACACACCTGGATCATCTCCTCGAATACACCCTGGATCATCTCCTCGAATACACCCTGGATCATCTCCTCGAACCTCGACACACCTGGATCATCTCCTCGATCTCCTCGAATACACCTGGATCATCTCCTCGAACACACCTGGATCATCTCCTCGAACACACCTGGATCATCTCCTCGATTACACCTGAATCATCTCCTCGAGTACACCTGGATCATCTCCTCGAACACACCTGGATCATCTCCTCGAGTACACCTGGATCATCTCCTCGAGTACACCTGGATCATCTCCTCGAGTACATCTGGATCATCTCCTCGAACACACCTGGATCATCTCCTCGAGTACACCTGGATCATCTCCTCGAACACACCTGGATCATCTCCTCGAACACACCTGGATCATCTCCTCGAATCACACTGGATCATCTCCTCGAACACACCTGGATCATTCCTCGAATACACCTGGATCATCTCCTCGAACACACCTGGATCATCTCCTCGAACACACCTGGATCATCTCCTCGAACACACCTGGATCATCTCCTCGAGTACACCTGGATCATCTCCTCGAACACACCTGGATCATCTCCTCGAACACACCTGGATCATTTCCTCGAATACACCTGGATCATCTCCTCGAACACACCTGGATCATTTCCTCGAATACACCTGGATCCTCTCCATCTATACCACAGTGACCCCTTCACTGCATGTGTGGTTGGCATTAAAGCTGAACTCCCGGCACACAAATGTTCATTTAAATATACGTCTCAATAGCCACAAAGGATGTAAATCCACGTTGTGAGCATCAAAAGCCTCTACAAACCCCACATATTGTGTTGTATAAATAGTGACATCATCATTGTGCTGTACATGATGGGTGTTGGATGAGAAGACTTGGACCACCATTGGTGTTCCTAATCATTCCAAAGGTGTTCAGTAGGGTGGAGGTCAGGGCTCTCGAGTTCCTCGATGGCCTCAAACCTACTGAGCGCCTTTTGGGATGAGTGCACCTCTCATCTGTAGGGTAAGGGCAGGTACTGATGATGGATGGGAAGACCTTACACCAAAGGTCTTCCAAAAGTAGGGTGGAGGTCAGGGCTCTGTGCAGGACGCTTGAGCTCCTCCACACCGAACTGGTCAAACCTTGTCTTCATGGAGCTGGCTTTGTGCACAGAATACCTGGCTTACAATCAGTGTTCCAATTCATTCCGAAGGAGTTCAGTAGGGTTGGGTTCAGGGCTCTGTGCAGGACACTCGAGTTCCTTCATGACCTCAAACCTACTGAACACCTTTCAAATGAGGTCTATTCATCCCAGATGTTCCACCGGGTTATGGCAAGTACTGATGTTGAATGAGAAGACCTTATATCAGCCTTTCTCAACCTTTTCAACACAGAGGAACCCTTGACGTAACTTTCCGTCTCAGGGAACCCCTGCTAAAAATGGCTCTATCTACAATTCATGATACAGTAGGGTGATACTCAGTGGGAAGAATGTTCCTTACACTTGTGGTCATTACCCCCTTACAGATTGCCAAAAAGATCAAAGGGAACTTACCTGAGGGGTAAAAATTGCTAATTTCTCAAGGAACCCCTGGAGGAACCCTAGGGTTCCACACAGAACCCTGGTTGAGAAACCCTGCCTTATATAAAAGGTCTTCCAAAAACAGGGTTGAGGTCAGGGCTCTGTGCAGAACACTTGAGTTCCTCCACACCAAACTTGACAAACCATGTGTTCATGGAGCTGGCTTTGTACACAGGAGACCTGACTTGCAATTCATCCCAAAAGTGTCCAGTAGGGTTGAGGTTAGGGCTTTGTGTAGTTTCTCGAGGTTTTCCACACGACGCTGGTCAAACCATGTTGAAATGGAGCTGACTTTGTACACAGAAGACTTGGCTTAAAATCAGTGTTCCAGGTAATCGTAGGGTTGAGGTCAAGGCTCTGCGGAGGACACTCAAGTGCCTCCATGACCTCAAACCTGAACACTTTTGGGGTGAGGTCTACTCATCCCAAAGGTGTTCCATAGGGTTAAGGGCAGATACTGATGTTGGATCAGAAAACCTTTTACCAATGGACTTCCAAAAGTAGGGTTGACATCAGGGCTGTGTGCAGGGCGCTTGAGTCCCTCCACACCGAACTGGTCAAACCATGTCTTTATGGAGCTGGTTTTGTACACAGAAGACCTGGCTTGCAATTCATCCTAGAAGTGTTTAGTAGGGTTAAGATCAGACCTCTGTGTAGACCCTCTAGGTTCTCCATTCCATACTTCTCTTTGTTCACAAAAGACCTGGCTTAAAATTAGTGTTCCAAATCATCCCAAAGGTGTTCCGTAGGGTAAGGGCAGATACTGATGTTGGATGAGAAGACCTCTTACCAAAAGTCTTCCAAAAGTAGGGTTGAGATCAGGGCTGTATGCAGGACACTTGAGTTTCTCCACACCGAACTGGGCAAACCTTGTCTTCATGGAGCTGACTTTGTACACATGGGGCTGTACATAGCTTCCTAGGAATGTCACAGCACCCTGCCTCAGTACTCCACTCAAGAGCCCTCAATCCCAACGCAAGCAGTGGGCGGGCTCTTGTGAAGAGTTATGCAAATATCAAAACGCCTTGATGGGGGTGTCAGTCTGGAGGAGTGGGCGTGCCTAGGCAGGCTGTATTTGCATGCAGACCATCCTAGACAACACCCTTATGTGATGCTAAGCCTCCATGACTGAAAGAACTGAATGAAAGGGGCGGGGCCTGGGACACTCAGTGTAAAGAGCTAGATGATGCTGGATGTCCTCCAGCCAAGAAATTAAGTGCCCCCCCCCCCAATCCAAAAATGTGAAATGTTTGGGAGAGGTTGAAGTCTGGAAGAGAAGGGGGGAGGGGTATGGAGGTCAGAGGTCACACACTGAATTCTGGGAGATGTCTGTGCCATGGCAGACAGAGAGAAGGAAGTCCGGGAGTCTTCTATTTATAAACATCTCTGTCCTTTGTATCTTCTTCTCATCTATTTATAGCATAGGTCTTCTCTGCTGCCCCTCCCCCCATATCACTGCTCAGTTACATACAAAGTCACTTCAGGGAACCTTCACACACTTCCAGACAACTCCAGACACTTCCAGATGCTTCCAGGACACTTCCAGACAACTCCAGACACTTCCAGATGCTTCCAGGACACTTCCAGATGCTTCCAGGACACTTCCAGACAACCCCAGACACTTCATGGCAATACCAGACACTTCCAGACAACCCCCCCAGACACTTCCTGGCAAATTGCAGACAACCCCAGACAACTCCAGACACTTTCAAATGCTTCCAGGACACCTCCAGAAAGACCCAGACACTTCGACACATTTTCAGAACACTTCTTCCGACAATTCCAGATGTTTCCAGCCATTTTCAGAACACTTCTAGAATCTTCTAGGACACTTCCAGGAACTTCTGAAACGCTTTCAGGACACCTTCAGACAACTCCAGACCATTACCAGAAACTCCCAGACATTTCTAGGCACTTCCAGACACTTCCAGGACACTTTCAGACAATTCCAGACATTTCCAGACACTTTCAGAATACTTCTAGACCCCTCCAGGACACTTCCAGGCACTTCCATTTTCAGACATTTTCAGGACACTTCCAGATATTTCTGGGCACTTCTGGGACACTTACAGAACATTTTCAGACACTTACAGGGCACTGCCTGGACCTGTCCAGACACTTCCAGGACATTTCCAGAAACTATCAGAAATCTAGAGCTAGACCCTTCTAGGACACTTCCTGGCACTTCAAGGAACTTTCACACACTTCTTCCAGATATATCTAGGACACTTCCAAGAGATTTTCAGGCACTTAAACGGCACTGCCTGGACATGTCCAGACCCTTCCGGGACATTTCCAGAAATTTCCAGACATGTCAACGTACGTTCAGGACACAGCAAGGCTCTTTCAGACACTTTCAGAACACTTGAAGACCCTCCTAGGACACTTCCAAGCTCTCCTAAGACACTTACGGGCACTTCAAGGAACTTTCACACACTTTCATATATTTGTAGGACACCTTCAGACAAATCCAGACCTTTTTAGACACTTCCAGATATTTCTGGGCACTTCTGGGACACTTCCAGGCCATGTCCAGACCCTTCCAGGACACTTCCATAAACATCCAGATATTTCCGGGCACTTCTGGGACAATTCCAGGCCATGTCTAGACCCTTCCAGGACACTTCCATAAACCTCCACACATTTCCAGACACATCAAGGCACCTCCAGATGCTTCCAGTAACTTCCAGGACACTTTCAGATAATTCCAGACACTTTCAGAACACTTCTAGACCCATCTAGGGCACTTCCAGAAGCTACGAGAAATTTCTAGACACTTCCAGGACACGTTCAGACAATTCCAGGCACTTCCAGATATTTCTTGGCACTTATGGGACACTTCAAGGCCATGTCCAGACCCTTCCAAGACATTTCCTGAACCGTCCACACATTTCCAGACACGTCAAGGCACCTCCAGATGCTTCCAGGACATCCTCCATTGGTGGAGTAGAGCGGGTAGAAGGCGGGGTCTCTCTAGATTGGTGATTTTCAGGGTGATGATGAGATTGTACAGATCAGACACTGTGGAAGAGATATGGCGGCTGGGCCCAGGAGCTGACAATCTCTTTTCTCTCTGCAGGCCTTTCTACACCGGATCCGGCAGAGTGCTGTGGACAAGACGGAGAATTGCTGCATCTCCCAGGAGAACGTCAAGGTGAGCTGAGAGTGCCAACCACCCGCCCTGCCCCCTGCCCCACACCCTGCCCTGCCACCCGTCCTACCACCCGTCCTGCCACCGGGGGCTCCCCTGAGAATACCTCTCCCTGACTTAGCAGTCTCCTGTATTGTACATCTCTGTCCCTGACTTAGCAGTCTCCTGTATTGTACATCTCTGTCTCTGACTTAGCAGTCTCCTGTATTGTACATCTCTGTCTCTGACTTAGCAGTCTCTTGTATTGTACATCTCCGTCTCTGACTTAGCAGTCTCTTGTATTGTACATCTCCGTCTCTGACTTAGCAGTCTCTTGTATTGTACATCTCCGTCTCTGACTTAGCAGTCTCCTGTGTTGTACATCTCTGTCTCTGACTTAGCAGTCTCCTGTGTTGTACATCTCTGTCTCTGACTTAGCAGTCTCTTGTATTGTGCATCTCTGTCCCTGACTTAGCAGTCTCCTGTGTTGTACATCTCTGTCTCTGACTTAGCAGTCTCCTGTGTTGTACATCTCTGTCTCTGACTTAGCAGTCTCCTGTGTTGTACATCTCTGTCTCTGACTTAGCAGTCTCTTGTATTGTACATCTCTGTCTCTGACTTAGCAGTCTCCTGTGTTGTACATCTCTGTCTCTGACTTAGCAGTCTCCTGTATTGTACATCTCTGTCTCTGACTTAGCAGTCTCCTGTGTTGTACATCTCTGTCCCTGACTTAGCAGTCTCTTGTATTGTACATCTCTGTCTCTGACTTAGCAGTCTCCTGTGTTGTACATCTCTGTCCCTGACTTAGCAGTCTCTTGTATTGTACATCTCCGTCCCTGACTTAGCAGTCTCCTGTATTGTACATCTCCGTCTCTGACTTAGCAGTCTCCTGTATTGTACATCTCCGTCTCTGACTTAGCAGTCTCTTGTATTGTACATCTCCGTCTCTGACTTAGCAGTCTCCTGTGTTGTACATCTCCGTCCTCTGACTTAGCAGTCTCTTGTATTGTACATCTCCGTCTCTGACTTAGCAGTCTCCTGTATTGTACATCTCCGTCTCTGACTTAGCAGTCTCCTGTATTGTACATCTCTGTCCCTGACTTAGCAGTCTCTTGTATTGTACATCTCTGTCCCTGACTTAGCAGTCTCTTGTATTGTACATCTCTGTCCCTGACTTAGCAGTCTCCTGTATTGTACATCTCTGTCTCTGACTTAGCAGTCTCCTGTGTTGTACATCTCTGTCTCTGACTTAGCAGTCTCTTGTATTGTACATCTCTGTCTCTGACTTAGCAGTCTCCTGTGTTGTACATCTCTGTCCCTGACTTAGCAGTCTCCTGTATTGTACATCTCTGTCTCTGACTTAGCAGTCTCCTGTGTTGTACATCTCTGTCTCTGACTTAGCAGTCTCCTGTGTTGTACATCTCTGTCTCTGACTTAGCAGTCTCCTGTATTGTACATCTCTGTCTCTGACTTAGCAGTCTCTTGTATTGTACATCTCCGTCCCTGACTTAGCAGTCTCCTGTGTTGTACATCTCCGTCCCTGACTTAGCAGTCTCTTGTATTGTACATCTCCGTCTCTGACTTAGCAGTCTCCTGTATTGTACATCTCCGTCTCTGACTTAGCAGTCTCCTGTATTGTACATCTCTGTCCCTGACTTAGCAGTCTCTTGTATTGTACATCTCTGTCCCTGACTTAGCAGTCTCTTGTATTGTACATCTCTGTCCCTGACTTAGCAGTCTCTTGTATTGTACATCTCTGTCCCTGACTTAGCAGTCTCCTGTATTGTACATCTCTGTCTCTGACTTAGCAGTCTCCTGTGTTGTACATCTCTGTCTCTGACTTAGCAGTCTCTTGTATTGTACATCTCTGTCTCTGACTTAGCAGTCTCCTGTGTTGTACATCTCTGTCCCTGACTTAGCAGTCTCCTGTATTGTACATCTCTGTCTCTGACTTAGCAGTCTCCTGTGTTGTACATCTCTGTCTCTGACTTAGCAGTCTCCTGTGTTGTACATCTCTGTCTCTGACTTAGCAGTCTCCTGTGTTGTACATCTCTGTCTCTGACTTAGCAGTCTCCTGTGTTGTACATCTCTGTCTCTGACTTAGCAGTCTCCTGTGTTGTACATCTCTGTCCCTGACTTAGCAGTCTCCTGTATTGTACATCTCTGTCTCTGACTTAGCAGTCTCTTGTATTGTACATCTCTGTCTCTGACTTAGCAGTCTCCTGTATTGTACATCTCTGTCTCTGACTTAGCAGTCTCCTGTATTGTACATCTCCTGTGGCCCCTGATACAGATTCTTTTGTTGCATGTTTTCTGGGATCTCACAGATCATGGTTTATCCCCGGCCTGACTTTGTCTGGTGAGAGCAGTGAATTCAGTGGCCCCCTGGCAGCTGAGGGGCCACATCCCAATCCTGTCAGTCTGAGCCTCAGAAAATGGCGGAGGAGACAGTCCAGGGGCCCCTGATCAGTCTTCAGCCACCACCAGGGAAATGTGTGAGAAAGGATAACAGAACGAGGGGCCCCTGAGATTTCCCTGCAGGCTCCTGAAATAACAGAGGAGACAATAGAGGTCCCGGCATCCTCCACTTCCTCCCGATAAAGTGACAATTCACAGATTACAGTGCACACCATCAGTTCCCACACCAGGGGCCCCGGGCCCTACAGGAGGGAGAAGTCACTGTTTTACCCCGGGAGATGGGAGACAGCGCAACCCCCCAGTCTGTATACAGAGGGGGGTGGGGGTCAGTGCTGGATACAGGAATAATGCCGAGTGTCATTCTCGGTATCTGTCCCTATTCTGTATGTATGGACTCTGCACAGTCCCACTTCTCCTGTCCTGGATGCCGGGTGTCATTCTCGGTATCTGTCCTTATTCTGTATGTATGGACTCTGCACAGTCCCACTTCTCCTGTCCCGGATGCCGGGTGTCATTCTCGGTATCTGTCCCTATTCTGTATGTATGGACTCTGCACAGTCCCACTTCTCCTGTCCCGGATGCCGGGTGTCATTCTCAGTATCTCCTCTTATTCTATATGTATGGACTCTGCACAGTCCCACTTCTCCTGTCCCGGATGCCGGGTGTCATTCTCAGTATCTCCTCTTATTCTATATGTATGGACTCTGCACAGTCCCACTTCTTCTGTCCCGGATGCCGGATGTCATTCTCGGTATCTGTCCCCATTCTGTATGTATGGACTCTGCACAGTCCCACTTCTCCTGTCCCGGATGCCGGGTGTCATTCTCAGTATCTCCTCTTATTCTGTATGTATGGACTCTGCACAGTCCCACTTCTCCTGTCCCGGATGCCGGGTGTCATTCTCAGTATCTCCTCTTATTCTATATGTATGGACTCTGCACAGTCCCACTTCTCCTGTCCCGGATGCCGGGTGTCATTCTCAGTATCTCCTCTTATTCTATATGTATGGACTCTGCACAGTCCCACTTCTCCTGTCCCGGATGCCGGGTGTCATTCTCAGTATCTCCTCTTATTCTATATGTATGGACTCTGCACAGTCCCACTTCTTCTGTCCCGGATGCCGGATGTCATTCTCGGTATCTGTCCCCATTCTGTATGTATGGACTCTGCACAGTCCCACTTCTCCTGTCCCGGATGCCGGGTGTCATTCTCAGTATCTCCTCTTATTCTGTATGTATGGACCCTCATGTAGCCCTGGTGTTGGCTTTTTCATTAAGCCAACACGGTTTGGAATCGGACAATCCCTTCATCAGGTTTGTAAGAATACAATAGAGCCCTGACGAGGCCCTGGTGTTGCATATGACCAAGACAACACGTTGGAAATTGGGGAACACCCCCTCATCAGGGCTACATCAGGACTCTCTTGTGTTCTTGTAGCGCTGATAAAGGGACTATTGTCTGACCCCTGGAACGTGTTGTCCTTGTGATAAAGTCTTTGATCTAATTTTGGAATAATATATATATAGTATCAGGACACATTTTGGTGGTCAAAGAACGCCCCTCTATCAGGCCTACAAAAATACAATAGAGCCCTGATGAAGCCTTGGTGTTGACATTATTACCAAGCCACCATGTTTTGGGATCAGAAAACATCCCCTATATCAGGGTTAGGAGAATAAAACCGAGCCCAGATGAAGCCTTGGTGTTGAAATTATCACCAAGCCACCATGTTTTGGGAATCAGGGAACACGCTCTCATCAGAGCTACATCAGGACTCTGTTGTATTCTTGTAGCTCTGATAAAGAGACCATTGTCTGACCCCCAGAACGTGTTAGCCTTGTGATAACGTTTTTGATCTAATTTTGTAACACATCTATATCTGTATACGTTTTTGGGGGTCAGAGAACACCCCCTTTATCAGGGCTATAAGAATACAAAAGAGTCCTGATGTAGCCCTGGTGTTGGTTTTATCACCAAGCCAACACATTTTGGGATCAGAAAACATCCCCTTTATCAGCATTACAAAAATAAAACAGAGCCCTGATGAAGCCTTGGTGTTGACATTATCACCAAGCCAACATGTTTTGGGAATTGGGAAACACCCCCTCATCAGGGCTACATCAGGACTCTGTTGTATTCTTGTAGCCCTGATAAAGGGACCATTGTCTGACCCCCAGAATGTGTTAGCCTTGTGATAACGGTTTTGATCTCATTTTGGGAGACATCTATATCTGGACACGTTTTGGGGGTCAAAGGACACCCCCTTTATCAGGGCTACAAGAATACAAAAGATCCCTGATGTAGCCCTGGTGTTGGCTTTATCACCAAGCCAACACGTTTTGGGAATCAGGGAACACCCTTTCATCAGAGCTACATCAGGACTCTGTTGTATTCTTGTAGCCCTGATAAAGGGACCATTGTCTGACCCCCAAAACATGTTAGCCTTGTGATTAACGTTTTTGATCTCATTTTGTAACACATCTATATCTGTATACGTTTTTTTGGGGTCAGAGAACACCCCTTTATCAGGGCTATAAGAATACAAAAGAGTCCTGATGTAGCCCTGGTGTTGGTTTTATCACCAAGCCAACACATTTTGGGATCAGAAAACATCCCCTTTATCAGCATTACAAAAATAAAACAGAGCCCTGATGAAGCCTTGGTGTTGACATTATCACCAAGCCAACATTTTTTGGGAATTGGGAAACACCCTTTCATCAGGGCTACATCAGGACTCTGTTGTATTCTTGTAGCCCTGATAAAGGGACCATTGTCTGACCCCCAGTATGTGTTAGCCTTGTGATAACGGTTTTTGATCTCATTTTGGGAGACATCTATATCTGGACACGTTTTGGGGGTCAAAGGACACCCCCTTTATCAGGGCTGCAAGAATACAAAATATCCCTGATGAAGCTCTGGTGTTCGTTTTATCACCAAGCCAACACATTTGGGAAATCAGGAAATACTCCTTCATCAGGGCTCAAGGTATTCTTGTAGCCCTGAGGAAGGGGGTGTTGCCTGACCCCCGAAACATGTAAAGTCGTTTATCTCATTTTGGAATTCAGTTCTATCTGGATGGGTAACATCAGTGTGGCACTTAAATGTCTCAGTGACAAAGCATGGAAGTGGAAACTCTTTGTCCTGAAGAAGCTTCCCGCCCTGAATCCAGATACCCCGTCTTATCATTACTTCTGCTTCTTTAGCAGTTGGAGAATCCCGAGGTTCCAGCTTTGCCCTTCCATGTGACTCCCGTGTTTTTCAATTCCTGTTTATGTTCCATACAGGCAGATGATTCTTCTGGATGTTCCGGGTCCTTCTTCATAAAGACACAAATAAATCGCAGCGTGACAGGCGCCTTTCACACGGCATCATAAGGCTGCGATTATCATGCTGGCGCGGGGACGCTGTGATCAGCAGTTTATTAAACCTCCTGGAAACAATTAATTGCAGATCGGATCCTCGTGTCACCATTTCTGGGCTTCCTGTAGATGTTTGGCTCCTATTGTTGGGCCTGGTGTACGGCTTGCTGCTGCCCCACAATGCACCTGCTCTGCGTGCTGCTCTCGGACAGACCCCTCAGTGTGTTTGCCTAGAATGCGTTTGGGGAAAGGCGCTTTGTTGGCGGCGCAGCCATCCACCAAGGCGTCTTTGTTGTGCAGCAGCTGAGGCGATGATGTGGAGATGGTGTCTCTGGAGAATGAGACTTTTCTCTGCCAGCATCGGAGTATTAACCCCCTCAGCTGTGTCCACACACTGAAGACTCATTCACAGAGCGGGCTGGAGAGGAAACGCCGTTCTGGGTAAATCTTTTATTGGGAGCGCGGCCTGGAGCCACATGAAAGGCATCAAAGTGTGTGAAATGTTCCCCAGGCCTCCATCGTCCCGGCAGGGTGAGGAACATGTGCTGGAGCCTTCCCCAGGCCCTGCCCATCCTACTGTGACCTGGGAAGGATGGGGGACATAAAGAAAACCTGTCAGGCATGTAACGCTAAATCTGATGACCACGTCTGAAACATGACATCACACTCTGCATACTTACACGAGGCCAAGAAGGAAGGCCACCACCGATGACCACATCCCAAACATGACATCACACTCTGCATACTTACACTAGGCCAAGAAGGAAGGCCACCACCGATGACCACATCCCAAACATGACATCACACTCTGCATACGTACACTAGGCCAAGAAGGAAGGCCACCACCGATGACCACATCCCAAACATGACATCACACTCTGCATACTTACACTAGGCCAAGAAGGAAAGCCACTACTGATGACCACATCCCAAACATGACATCACACTCTGCATACGTACACTAGGCCAAGAAGGAAGGCCACCACCGATGACCACATCCCAAACATGACATCACACTCTGCATACTTACACGAGGCCAAGAAGGAAGGCCACTACCGATGACCACACATTCCCAAACATGACATCACACTCTGCATACTTACACTAGGCCAAGAAGGAAGGCCACCACCGATGACCACATCCCAAACATGACATCACACTCTGCATACTTACACGAGGCCAAGAAGGAAGGCCACTACCGATGACCACATCCCAAACATGACATCACACTCTGCATACTTACACGAGGCCAAGAAAGAAGGCCACCACCGATGACCACATCCTAAAAATGATGTCATGTTTCCAAAATATTCAGTAACATACCTCCAGTCTCCAACTTAACCAGTAGCATGTTCCCAGTCTCCAACCTAACCAGTAGCATGTTCCCAGTCTCCAACCTAACGATTAGCATGTTCCCCAGTCTCCAACCTAACGATTAGCATGTTCCCAGTCTCCAACCTAACCAGTAGCATGTCCCCAGTCTCCAACCTAACCAGTAGCATGTTCCCAGTCTTCAACCTAACCAGTAGCATGTCCCCAGTCTCCAACCTAACCAGTAGCATGTCCCCAGTCTCCAACCTAACCAGTAGGATGTCCCCAGTCTCCAACATAACCAGTAGGATGTTCCCAGTCTCCAACCTAACCAGTAGCATGTCCCCAGTCTCCAACCTAACGATTAGCATGTTCCCAGTCTCCAACCTAACGATTAGCATGTTCCCAGTCTCCAACCTAACGATTAGCATGTTCCCAGTCTTCAACCTAACCAGTAGCATGTCCCCAGTCTCCAACCTAACCAGTAGCATGTCCCCAGTCTCCAACCTAACCAGTAGCATGTCCCCAGTCTCCAACCTAACCAGTAGGATGTCCCCAGTCTCCAACATAACCAGTAGGATGTTCCCAGTCTCCAACCTAACCAGTAGCATGTCCCCCAGTCTCCAACCTAACCAGTAGGATGTCCCCAGTCTCCAACATAACCAGTAGCATGTCCCCAGTCTCCAACCTAACCAGTAGGATGTCCCCAGTCTCCAACATAACCAGTAGGATGTTCCCAGTCTCCAACCTAACCTGTAGCATGTCCCCAGTCTCCAACCTAACCAGTAGCATGTCCCCAGTCTCCAACCAAACCTGTAGCATGTTCCCAGTCTCCAACCAAACCAGTAGCATGTTCCCAGTCTCCAACCAAACCAGTAGCATGTTCCCAGTCTCCAACCAAACCAGTAGCATGTTCCCAGTCTCCATCCAAACCAGTAGCATGTTCCCAGTCTCCAACCAAACCTGTAGCATTTCAAGAGTGTCTGTCCATCATTTCCAGCGCTGTGTCTGCAGTCATCTCTTGCATTACTTGTATTGAACAATATGTGTGGCCCTCAGGGGCCAGTGTTGAGGCCCCCTAAACCTCATTAGCTGACAACCATTGCTTTAGTAGTTCCCCCCCCCCCCCTTGCAGAATGAGAGCCCATCAGACCCATCAGGGAGATTCCAGGAAATGTGACGTTGTCTTGTTTTTCTTTCCCCAGATTTTATTCTCCAACATTGAGGACATCCTGCGGGTGCACCGGGAGTTCCTGGAGTCACTGGAGGGCGCTCTGCAGCCGGAGCCGCAGTCCCACCATGAGCTGGGGCTCATCTTCCTGAAGTTTGTGAGTGGCTTCTCTCTGGTTATCTGAGCTGTGCAGCTTCCTGTGTGGTGGCTGAGCCGTCCGCTTATCTCTGGCCCCGTGGGCCCCTGTCGGCCCCCGCCGGCCCCTCACTGGTTTACACAATCTGCTGGGAGAAACAATCTCACCGCGAAATTAATCTCTGCGCTTCTCACACCGCCAAAGTCCTGATTTTATGGTTGGCTCCACGTGTGCCTCTCGTCCCAAAATGTTCCATTATTGAACAGAAAAGACGAGAGTGGAAAAAAAAGGGCCCCAATGAGCACACAGGGGCCACATTTATGGGGTGAGGATAATGGCGGACTCCTGATCTGACGCTGAGCTGTTCTAAATCTGAATCTCTCATTATAAGTGTCCATCTTCCATGAAGGTCTTTGTTCAGGCACTTCCTGTGATAGGGTGACAACGCTCTGTCTCTGTTCCCCAATTGTTCTCTCTGTGTTGTCACCCTGTCACAGAGGCTTCCAATGAAGACTACAAGTGGCTGTTTCAACTTAAACTACACAGCTACTGGTGTCACCATTGCAAAAAATGCCATTAAAAGTCTTTGTTCAGGCATTTTTATAGGGTGACAACACTATGTATCTGTCTCCCAAATGTGCTCCTGCGTTGTCACCCTGTCACACAGGCTTCAAATGGGGACTACAAGTAGCTGTTTCAGCACACATAATGCAAGCATGGGGCCACTGTCATCACCACAGGAAAATTTCCATGAAATGTCCTAGTTCCACATCAGGCACTTCCTGTTAGAAGGTGTTAACACCCATTACACAGACACAGTCCTGTGTTGTCACCATCAGGAAAATGCCCTTGTTCAGGCACTTCCTGTTATAGGGTGACAACGCTCTGTCCCCCAATTCTGCTCCTGCATTGGCCTGTTACAGCAGCTTCAGATAGGGACTACAAGTGGCGGTTTCAACACATAATACAGGCATTGGACTACTGTTGTCCCCATTGGAAAATGGTATTAAAAGTCCTTGTTCAGGCACTTCCTGTTAGAGGGTGACAACGCTTTGTCCCTGTCTCCCATCTGTGCTCTTGCGTTGTCACCCTGCTTCAAATAGGGCTGTTTCAACACCCATAATGCAGGCATGGGGCCGCTGCCATCACCATCGGAAAAAATTCCATTAAAAGTCCTAGTTCAGGCACTTCCGGCTTTAGGGTGACTACACTCTGTACCTGTCATCCAATTGTTCTGCTGAGTTGTCACCCTGTCATATGGCCTCTGGATGGAGAGTGATAAAGGCACCGTACACATCATCCAATGAGGGTTCACATCTCCCCAACACACAGATTGTTACATTGTTGTATACAGCACTGCACACATATTAGGTTTCAGGAAACTCCTACTGGCCCCTCCCACGAGCCATGATCTGCCCGCATTGCATAGAGAAGCACAGAGACCCCGTGATGATGTCATCGGGTCTAAAATAAGGAATGCCATAAAAATAGAAAATTTGTATTTAATAATCTAATTTGCATTGTGATGGGGGGGCAGTGTGATGGGGGAGGGAGGGACCAGTGTGATAGGGGAGGGGGGACCAGTGTGATGGAGGAGGGGGGACCAGTGTGATGGGGGAGGGGGGGACCAGTGTGATGGGGGACCAGTGCGATGGGGAAGGGGGGGACCAGTGTGATGGGGGAGAGGGACACCAGTGTGATGGGGGGAGGGGGACACCAGTGTGATAGGGGGGGGGGGGACCAGTGTGATGGGGGAGGGGGGGACCAGTGTGATGGGGGGGGGACCAGTGTGATGGGGGGGGGGGGGGACCAGTGTGATGGGGGAGGGGGGGACCAGTGTGATGGGGGAGGGGGGACCAGTGTGATGGGGGAGGGGGGGGACCAGTGTGATGGGGGAGGGGGGACCAGTGTGATGGGGGAGGGGGGGGACCAGTGTGATGGGGGGGGGGGGACCAGTGTGATGAGGAAAGGGGGGGACCAGTGTGATGGGGGAGGGGGGGACCAGTGTGATGGGGGAGGAGGAGACAAGTGTGATGATGGTGGGGGGGCAGTGTGATGATGGGGGAGGGAGGGAGGGACCAGTGTGATGGGGGAGGAGGAGACAAGTGTGATGGTGGGGGGTGGGGGGGGGCAGGGAAGGCACAATAGAAGCAGGCTACCCTTCAGCTGTAATAAGAGGTGATTGCCGCATTCAGAAGGGGGTGACATGTCACAGCTGCATGTGGTGTGCACAGTTGTGGTTGTCAGCCCCCCCCCCATGGGTTGTCTGCTGATCATGTTCCTGTCCCTGAAAACAAACACCTGGGTGCTGACATGGAGGCTGCTCCTGGCTGCCCCCACCCCTGGGAAGGGGGGGGGGTCTGTGTTGTTTTCCTCCAGGCGGATCAGCACAGGAAGCCTGTTGGAGGATCTCTGCACGGCATGCAGGATGACGTCTGTCCATACCTCCACCCTGAACCCTCTCCTTCCAGCCAGAGAGGTCACCTTCTGGACAGAAGCTCCACAGCGCCCCCACTCTGACATCTGCATGTACTACACCGTCCAATGGAAAAACGACCGATCAATCCCAACTTTTATTATTTGTGTTCAATAGAACGCAGAGAGCCAGCGAGGTACAAATAATTCTCTGATTTACAAAAAAAATGTTTTCTCAGATATATATATACTGTACATATCGATATCTGCAAGTCGCCTTCTGTTAATCTCCTTGTCCCCACTTTGTTCATTTTTTTTTTGCATCTTCGCGCTGCAGATCTCCCTTTATATGAACTCCAGTGGGCGGGATTCCTGACGGTGACAACAGTGGTCCCATGTCTGTGTATTGTGTGTTGAAACAGCCACTTGTCTCCATTGGAAGCCCATGTGGCAGGGTGACAACGCATGAGTGCAGTTGGGAGACAAGAGCAGTGTGTTGTCACCCTCTAACAGGAAGTGCCTGAACAAAGACTTTTAATGGCATTTTTTTTATGGTGACACCAGCAGCTCCATGCCTCTGTAATGTGTGTTGAAACAGCCACTTCTAGTCCCCATTGGAAGCCTATGTAATGAGGCGACAACGCATGAGCATAATTGGGAGACAAGCACAGAGCGTTGTCACCCTCTAACAGGAAGTGCCTGAACAAGGACCTTCATGGCAGGATCACCAGGGATTGTTATAATGAAAGAATCAGATTTGAAAAGATTGAACATGACTTTTGAGATGACCTGAAGGTGTTAGTGAGGTTTTAGTGGTTGGGTTTACCGGTTGGGTGACACTGAGATTTCCCAGCATGCTGGAGAAGTTCTGCGTCAGGTCATGAGTGCTTCTGTTATCGTCAATGATGTAATGTGTCCATGGGAAGACAACACAGGGGAACAATGGGGAGCAGGGACAGAGCGTTGTCACCCTACAACAGGAAGACTGTCTGAGATCCTATTGTAGAGGTCTAATCCTGTGTGCGATCGTGCTGGACACACCCAGCCTTGTACTGCACCACTGTATATGTCAGCGCTCCGTGTGCACAGTGTGTACCGGCCCCGACGGAAGAGTCCGGCTCATGTCTTCTCTGTTTGTTTCCTCCTGCAGAAAGAGAGGTTCTGTGTGTACGAGGAGTATTGCAGCAACCATGAGAAGGCGCTGCGATTATTGATGGAGCTCAACAAAGTCCCCAACATCCGCGCCTTCCTGCTGGTGAGTTCACACCGCCCTCTGCTCTCCCCTTCTCACAATGCTTCTGGGGGGGACTTCTTCCTCTTGTCATAGGATTCCGTTCCACCCACTGCAAGAAAAACTGCAGGAGGAGCTGCTCTACCAACAATCCCATGTCAGTAGAGCGATCTCCCCCGGTGAGCTATTGGGTTCTGACACCAGGACACCCCGCTCCGCCATTGGCTGAGGGGTCCTGGTTGGATGCCAATCGGCAGACATGGTTCGGTCAACAGAATCTGGCCGCCATACACACGGGCCGAATGGAGGCTGGTTGTTATTGTGGCGGCCGATGCCCCCTGACATTCGACCCCTGTGTACTACGAACATACTGGCTGCATTTCATGGGCCCCTCAGAATGATGATGATGATTATTTCATTGTTTGTTGTTATTATACTGTTGTTGTTCCCATTTATTGTTTGTTATTATTACGGTTATATCCTGGATACAAATAATTATACTGTTATTATTTAGAGCTGCATGTTGCTGGGAGGACGGAAGACAGACATCCCATTGGAGGGTTACCTGCTCACCCCCATCCAGAGGATCTGCAAGTACCCCGCTACTCCTAAAGGTACCTGGCCTTGTCTGTGTCCCCTGTGTCTCCAGAAATGCTGAGCCCCCGGTGTGGATCACTCCTCATCTTCCACCATGTCATAGCTGAGCCCCCATGTGTGGTCACTCCTGATCTTCCACCATGTCATAGCTGAGCCCCCCGGTGTGGTCACTCCTCATCTTCCACCATATCATAGCTGAGCCCCCAGGTGTGGTCACTCCTCATCTTCCACCATGTCATAGCTGGGCCCCCGGTGTGGTCACTCCTGATTTTCCACCATGTCATAGCTGAGCCCCCGGTGTGGTCACTCCTGATCTTCCACCATGTCATAGCTGAGCCCCCGTGTGGTCACTCCTCATCTTCCACCATATCATAGCTGAGCCCCCAGTGTGGTCACTCCTCATCTTCCACCATATCATAGCTGAGCCCCGGTGTGGTCACTCCTCATCTTCCACCATGTCATAGCTGAGCCCCCGGTGTGGTCACTCCTGATCTTCCACCATGTCATAGCTGAGCCCCCGTGTGGTCACTCCTGATCTTCCACCATGTCATAGCTGAGCCCCCGTGTGGTCACTCCTCATCTTCCACCATATCATAGCTGAGCCCCCGGTGTGGTCACTCCTCATCTTCCACCATGTCATAGCTGAGCCCCCGGTGTGGTCACTCCTGATCTTCCACCATGTCATAGCTGAGCCCCCGGTGTGGTCACTCCTGATCTTCCACCATGTCATAGCTGAGCCCCCGGTGTGGTCACTCCTGATCTTCCACCATGTTCCTGAGCCCCCGGTGTGGTCACTCCTCATCTTCCACCATAGCCCCCCGGTGTGGTCACTCCTCATCTTCCACCATGTCATAGCTGAGCCCCCAGTGTGGTCACTCCTCATCTTCCACCATGTCATAGCTGAGCCCCCGGTGTGGTCACTCCTCATCTTCCACCATGTCATAGCTGAGCCCCCGGTGTGGGTCACTCCTCATCTTCCACCATGTCATAGCTGAGCCCCCGGTGTGGTCACTCCTCATCTTCCACCATGTCATAGCTGAGCCCCCGGTGTGGTCACTCCTCATCTTCCACCATGTCATAGCTGAGCCCCCGGTGTGGTCACTCCTGATCTTCCACCATGTCATAGCTGAGCCCCCGGTGTGGTCACTCCTCATCTTCCACCATGTCATAGCTGAGCCCCCGGTGTGGGTGGTCACTCCTGATCTTCCCTTCCATGTCATAGCTGAGCCCCGGTGTGGTCACTCCTGATCTTCCACCATGTCATAGCTGAGCCCCCGGTGTGGTCACTCCTGATCTTCCACCATGTCATAGCTGAGCCCCCAGTGTGGTCACTCCTGATCTTCCACCATGTCATAGCTGAGCCCCCGGTGTGGTCACTCCTCATCTTCCACCATGTCATAGCTGAGCCCCCGGTGTGGTCACATCTCCTGATCTTCCACCATGTCATAGCTGAGCCCCCGTGTGGTCACTCCTGATCTTCCACCATGTCATAGCTGAGCCCCCGTGTGGTCACTCCTCATCTTCCACCATGTCATAGCTGAGCCCCCGGTGTGGTCACTCCTCATCTTCCACCATGTCATAGCTGAGCCCCCAGTGTGGTCACTCCTCATCTTCCACCATGTCATAGCTGAGCCCCCGGTGTGGTCACTCCTCATCTTCCACCATGTCATAGCTGAGCCCCCAGTGTGGTCACTCCTCATCTTCCACCATGTCATAGCTGAGCCCCCGGTGTGGTCACTCCTCATCTTCCACCATGTCATAGCTGAGCCCCCGGTGTGGTCATTCCTGATCTTCCACCATGTCATAGCTGAGCCCCCAGTGTGGTCACTCCTCATCTTCCACCATGTCATAGCTGAGCCCCCGTGTGGTCACTCCTCATCTTCCACCATGTCATAGCTGAGCCCCCAGTGTGGTCACTCCTGATCTTCCACCATGTCATAGCTGAGCCCCGGTGTGGTCACTCCTGATCTTCCACCATGTCATAGCTGAGCCCCCGGTGTGGTCACTCCTCATCTTCCACCATGTCATAGCTGAGCCCCGGTGTGGTCCACTTCTCATCTTCCACCATGTCATAGCTGAGCCCCCGGTGTGGTCACTCCTGATCTTCCACCATGTCATAGCTGAGCCCCCGGTGTGGTCACTCCTGATCTTCCACCATGTCATAGCTGAGCCCCCGGTGTGGTCACTCCTGATCTTCCACCATGTCATAGCTGAGCCCCCGGTGTGGTCACTCCTGATCTTCCACCATGTCATAGCTGAGCCCCGGTGTGGTCATCCTCATCTTCCACCATGTCATAGCTGAGCCCCCAGTGTGGTCACTCCTCATCTTCCACCATGTCATAGCTGAGCCCCCGGTGTGGTCACTCATTGGAGGAGGAATGAACATCTTCCAGTAATGTGTTCTAAGTTGAATGGAGCTGCCCCAAGACCACTGCCAGACTCTCCTTCATCATTACTCCATGTTCTGAGCATCCTCTCCAGTCCTGGTACAAGGTCCTTCTTCACCCAAGACCTGAAAGCCAGAGTGCGCCCCCTATGGTTTGTGAATTGCCCTAGCAGTATAGGTTTCAGGTTCTGCCCTTTTTGTGCCCCCCTCCTGCCGAGTGCCCAAAGCCTTCCTTCCCCACAGCCTGGCCGTGGTCCTCTGCAAGGTTGTGTTCCTCTATACAAACCCTGAACCATCATTCTTTTTATTTGTTCCGGGGCCCGTGAGGCCCCTTGAGTAGTCTTTCTGATAAACAAACCGCAGGAAGCCAGCTTGGATTACGTAGAAATTCCGCTTTCTTTTAATTCCTGTTTTTGCAGAAAGTCATCAGATGCACAGCTGCTCCCGGGCCGGCATTGAGGCCGTTTACCGGTACATGTGAGCAGCTTCCGACCACCGGGCCCTCAGCCAGAAATCATCCAATGAAAGAGGACCTGTCATTAAAAAGCTCACATCACCCTACAGGCCAGTCAGTGTGCACAGGGCCCCTACAGGCCAGAGTGGGCCAATCACAGTGTGCACAGGGCCCCTACAGGGCAGAATGGCCAATCTGTGTGCACAGGGCCCCTACAGGCCATAATGACCAATCACAGTGTGCACAGGGCCCGAACAGGACAGAGTGACCAATCACAGTGTGCACAGGGCCCCTACAGGGCAGAGTGACCAATCACAGTGTGCACAGGGCCCCTACAGGACAGAGTGACCAATCACAGTGTGCACAGGGCCCCTACAGGCCAGAGTGACCAATCACAGTGTTCACAGGGCCCCTACAGGCCAGAAATGACCAATCACAGTGTGCACAGGGCCCCTACAGGCCAGAGTGACCAATGACAGTGTGCACAGGGCCCCTACAGGACAGAGTGGCCAATCACAGTGTGCACAGGGCCCCTACAGGCCAGAGTGACCAATCACAGTGTGCACAGGGCCCCTACAGGACAGAGTGACCAATCACAGTGTTCACAGGGCCCCTACAGGGCAGAATGACCAATCACAGTGTGCACAGGGCCCCCTACACAGGGCAGAATGACCAATCACAGTGTGCGCAGGGCCCCCTACAGGGCAATGACCAATCACAGTGTGCGCAGGGCCCCTACAGGGCAGAATGACCAATCGCAGTGTGCGCAGGGCCCCTACAGGGCCCCACAGTGTGCACAGGGCCCCCTAGGGCGATTGACCAATCACAGTGTACAGGGCCCCCTACCTGGCGGATTGACCAATCACTGTGTACAGGGCCCCCTAGGGCAGAATGACCAAGCACAGTGTGTGGAGGGCCACACAGGGCCCCTCATCCTCTACTCTCCTATCACATGTATGCAGTTGGTGTGTTCATACCCGGGGAGGGGTAGCTGTGATGGCGCTGTGTGCCGGGGTGATGCTGTGTACTCAGCCGAGGTTTGTAGTCAATGACTTCATTCATCCAGATATTTATGAGTCTTCCAGAAAATCTTTTGGCAGCACAGAGAATGGAATGACATTTAGCACAGCAAATGGAAATGTGACATAGAACATAAAATAAATGTGCTGCACAGACTGGCGGTCACATATAATTCAAGGCGGTCGTTAAAGTCCATGTAAACCCCAACCGGATGGCATTTAGTGCGTTCTGTGGATGGTAAGCAATTGTCTGAGTGGGGGAGCCAAAGTTCAGAATACATAGCAGGGGAGCGTAGAACGGAGCAGGGGAGCGTAGAACGGAGCAGGGGAGCGTAGAACGGAGCCACGGGAGCGTAGCATTGACCAGGAGAGCGTAGATGGACCAGGGGAGTGTAGCATTGACCATGGGAGCGTAGAGCGGAGCAGGGGAGCGTAGAACGGACCAGGGGAGCGTAGAACAGAGCAGGGGAGCGTAGAACGGAGCAGGGGAGCGTAGAACGGAGCAGGGGAGCGTAGCATTGACCATGGGAGCGTAGAATTGGACCATGGAAGTGTAGAACGGACCAGGGGAGCGTAGAACGGACCAGGGGAGCGTAGCATTGACCAGGGGAGCGTAGAACGGAGCAGGGGAGTGTAGCATTGACCAGGGAGCGTAGCATTGACCATGGGAGTGTAGAATGGATCGAAGAGCGTAGCACGGATCAGGAGAGTGTAGATGGACAGGAAAGCGTAGAACGGAGCAGGGGAGTGTAGAATGGAGCAGGAGAGCGTAACGAACGGAGCAGGGGAGCGTAGAAGGATAGGAGAGGGTAGCACGGACCAGGAAAGCGTAGCCCGGAGCAGGGGAGCGTAGCCCGGACCAGGGAGCGTAGCGCGGACCAGGGAGCGTAGCACAGAGTAGGAGAGGGTAGCACGGACCAGGAAAGCGTAGAGGGGAGCGTAGCCCGGACCAGGAAGCGTAGCAGGACCAGGGAGCGTAGCGCGGACCAGGAGAGCGTAGCACGGAGCAGGGGAGCATAGCGCGGACCAGTAAAGTGTAGAAAGGAGCAGGGAAGCGTTTAGCACGGACCAGGAAAGTGTAGAACTGTCCAGGAAAGCATAGAGTAGCACGGAGCAGGGGAGTGTTAGCACATAGTAGGGGGCTTTAGCGTGGAGCGA